TTGTTGATATTTTTGTATAGAATGTTTCAATTTAAAGAATTGATCGCTTTAAATGTAAAAATTGTGCTGTATAAATGTTATTTTATGCGATTTTGGAAACGGTGGAAATTGCATAATTGTTTACGTTTTCTTTCTTTTTTGTTTTGTTTTGTTTAACTATATCATTCACATCTAAAAACATTTATTATATATTTACTTGCTCAAATTAAATTTCCATTTTCCTGACCATCCATATTGAAATCAGAAATCAAATGAAGTGTTACATCAAAGACTCGTAACAAAAGGTGATATGAAGTAAACTCAAATCAAAACAAATAACAATACCGTACTAAATAAATTAGCAATGGCGTATTTTCCATATAACAAAATAAATACGTTTTAAATAAGTACATGAACAATATTAAGTAGCAGTGAAACTGCTATACTGATGTATATTAAATATATAATACCTAAAGAGGTTGTAAACAATTTCCAAGTTTCTCTTTGTATTTAAATTGAAGCATTAAAAATATATATCTCAAAAAATCTCAAACAAAATTCGCTTACAAGCGCTTACCTTGATTTTTACTTTAAAAAATGAAATTATGAAATAAATTAAAGGTAACAAAAAGAGTGTGATTCGAGGTGTAGTTTTAGACAGTTGACAATAGCGCATAAATAATAAATGAAAGTCGCGTAGATTGTTTAGCGTACGATTAAACAGTTGTCTTAATAAAACAATTTCCAGTATTATATTTTTGAAAAGTTCTAAACTAAAAAAAATCCAAGCAAAAAAAAACAAAAAACAATTATGCATAGATAGAAATTTGTATTAGGCGTATACAATTGTTCCGATGCTCTACCTATCATAATCACCAAAACTTCACTCACCAACTTATGATCATGATGTAACCTTAACATTTTAGTACTTCCCTGAGTTTTTTTTAACTGTAAATGTTAACTGAAAATTGTTGCATACACTTGATACACAATACTTGTAAACCTACTTCGGAGCTTAAAGTAAGTAGCAGCTTATCATCTTAAATATAAAGTATCATAGCAGTTTTAAATCCGTGATCAAAATTTTCTTCGAGCTTTTTACGTTATTCTCATTAATTCAAACGATATTTATGCTTTAGATATTTTATGTCTTTTTAAAATAACTTAATTTTCAATTATATTTTATTAAAATGTTGCGTACTGTTGAACCTCGGTTTTCCAACACCTAATCATTTGGATGTTTGACTTGCGCAAAAAGCATTTCAACGTAGGTTTAATGATTATAGCAGTTGTTGTTTAGCACTTCTGTTGTAGCAACGAATTCAAAATCTGGCTCTTAAAGAAACATCAATTAACAAAGAACAAAAAAACTAAAAAAAACTTCTTTTTTTTACATTATTGTATCGTTATTTATGTTATAAAAATTTAGAAAGGATTTATATATATATATATATATATATATATATATATAT